AGAAAAATATATGTTGTTTAAAAAAAAAAAAAAAAGAACCAGCCTCTCTGACCATGTCTTGCTTCTGATGGTGCCAATGCCGGCAACCTGCAGAATGGCCCATCCGTGAGAGCTGTGCCTGGGGCCTTGCGTTCATACTTGACTGTGGTTTTCTTTCTTTGCCAAGTGCAGTATTTTCAAGGAGAGCTGGGAGACTCTCTGGACCATTTCTCCTTCTCCACAAGTCAATTAGATATTTAATGATTGTCTTCTCTGTTCAGCCTTAAATAGATATGTTTACTTGGGAGGCGACAGGTAGGAGGTGTGTAAAGCTCACTCCCAGTGATGGCCCTGACGAACTGAGGAGAAAAGGCTGGTTTGATGATGCCCATCCCGAGCTCCCAATCTAGCAGACAGACAGAGGTATGTACTTCCTCTCCCGCTGTCACTACTCTCTGTAGCATGATAGGGTGCCTGTCTGCATCCCTCCCCAGCCCTGGATCCGAGCACCCTGAGGGCGGGGGCTATGTCTCATCTCTCTCCCATCCCCGGCTCTCAGCTCAGAGCTGGTGGGGGGTGCAATCAGGGTGCTTTGCAAACTGAGCTGTGAGGCATGCTGGGGAGGTCAGAGGAGAGTAGGGCTGGATGACAGGTAGGGTGGACCCGGGACCCTAGGAATGGGTAGGCTTTGTAGAGGTGGGAAAGTAAGAGACAGAAGTTTTAGACTAGGACACAGAAGCTGGAGAGCTCCTGGAAAGTGTCGATGAAACCTGGCTGGAATGTTGGAATCAGGCTGGTCAGCAGAAGGGACAGTGATTTGCTCAAATAATGGAGCAGATAATGAAAGGCCTTAACAGCCCAGCTGAGGAGCAGGTATCATGTGTGTATCGTGCTAGAATATAATAGTAAATGCAGGTTTCTGAGAATTAGGGCCAGTAGAATCTTCCTGACTTCCAGATTTTTGAGGATGTTGTAAGATTTAAGAATGCCTTAGAAGGTGTCTAGTTAATGAAATATTACTCAGCAATACAGAGCAGTAAACTGTTGATACACACAGTAACGTGAATGAAACTCAAAATTATTATGCCAGGTGAAAGAAGTCAGGCCAAAAAAAAAAGGAAGAACATACTGTATTATTCCATTTATATGAAATTCTAGGAAATGCAAACTAATCTCTGAAGACAGAAAGCATTCAGTGGTTGCCTGGAGATGGGAGTGGAGGGAGAGGTGGATTATAAATGAGGTGTGGAAAAAACTTTTGGGGTGATGAAATGCCTATCATCTTGATTGTGCTGATGGTTTCACAGTATAGGCCTATGCCAAAACTGATCAAAATGTACACTTTAAATGTGTGCAGTTTATTCTACCTCAATTATACCTCACTAAAGTTTTAAATGGAGCCCTGGTGGCACCGGGGTTAAGAGCTTGGCTATTAACCAAAAGGTCAGCAGTTCAAATCCACCAGCTGCTCCTTGGAAACCCTATGGGGCAGTTCTGCTCTGTCCTACAGGGTCGCTATGAGTTGGAACCGACTCAAAGGCACCTAACAACAACAACAACAAAGTTGTAAACAGCCCTAGTGGTAGAGTGGTTAAGAGCTTGGCTGCCAACCAAAAGGTCGATAGTTCAAATCCACCAGCCGCTCCTTAGAAACCCTATGGGCAGTTCTACTCTGTCCTATAGGGTCACTAGGAGTCGGAATCAACTCCACAGCAGCCGGTTATGGGTTAAAGTTGTAACAGAAAAAAAAAAAAAAGGTTGTCCAGTTAATATAAAGGGAAACCATCATCATAATGGAAGTTGAGGAAACAGTTTCTGTCCTAAGGAAAGGGAGTACTTTACATATGTCAATCCATCTCATCCCTACAAACAGCCCAGTGATGTAGATATTAAATACCCATTGTACAAATGTTGAACTAAGGCTCAGAGATGCTCAGTGGCTTGCCCAGGGCCACACAGCTTGTTAATGATGGACGGAGCCAAAATTCAAACCGGGTCTGATCCCCAAATCTGTGTGCCGTTTGTGCAGTCTGTTTTCCCAAAACTCCAGTCTCCATCTGAGAGCAGGTGCCAGTGCTCAACGGGAGAGAGGGATGAGCTGATGGGCCAAACGGCATGGCAGAACCTCTGTTTCTTATTTTTCAAAATGGGTTTGGGGCAGGGAGGATTCTTCCTTATGATTATCAAGGTAAATTTAGATCAGATTTTTAACACAGCCAATTGATCTCAAATCATTTCCTCTTCTCAATAGGTAAGTCATAACCTTAGTTTGAAAAGCAACTGTAGCAAAACAGGAAGCAGGATGGTCAGAGATAGATGTGGGCAGCTTACATTTCAGAGATAGACCTATTTTAATGTTGGAATGTTTAATCACTTACATGTTTATGTATCAAATTTTAAGCAGTGGAAGGAAGGAAAGAAGGAGATAGAGGGGAAAATTCTTATCTTCAGGGTCTGTGCCAGGATCAGTGTGTAGCCAACTCACTCTCCTGGGCCTTCCTGGCTCCCCTAAAACCCTCCTGGGTAGGAAGTAATGATCACATCAGCTCCCTAGGGTCCTTTCAGATAGCCAGTTGTTGAGAGAAGATTCCATTGCAATCACTGAACACAGTGTTCAGGATATTTTTAAACTAGTCTTCAGCAGTGCTGGCTGAGAAAAAGTGCAACTGATTGGAACACTTTCATTCCCCTGGTATTTTAGTGGGATTCAGCTTCCCAAATTTGGGACATAATTTCTGAGGTTCATATATTGGGTTGAGAAAATACTGATCAATTGTTCTGATTTTTCTTCCTTTCGCCATGCCCCAATTAGCATCCTCCATTTCCCATCAACACCACTGACTAATTATCTCTTGTGATGTCATTATTGCTGCAGTGGAAGGTCCCATTAACACCTTCTGAGGGATTTATATAAAAATGACTGTGAACCAGGCTTGGACATGAATGAATCAATCTATAAATGGGGAAAATCCTGCTGGCTCTGAGCAGGCTATGGCATTCTCCACAGCCCCCTGATGAACTGGATTAGTTTGTAGCCCTCCTTCATACCTACCTTGCCAGTCACCTTGTTGAGGCAGCGTCCTCAGACACTCCTCCCCAATCCCAGTGCCCTGTTACACCTCACATGGGTCACGCTGCTGTTGTTCCATTTTTGCCCTGATTACCCTCTGCTGAAATCCTCTGGGCTCTCCACTGGCCACTCTGTGAAGAGAGGAACTGTGAATTTTCCCCTTTGTGTCCACGGGACACAACATGGAATAATCCCAATGTAGTCCATATCAGCTACACTATGCTTACTGTGTATTGGACATTGTTCCAAGGGCTTTACCTGTATCCAATCCTTTAATCTTCAAAACTGTGAGATAAAATGTATTATTATTACCATTAGGTAGGTAGGGAAACTGAGGCACAGAGCAGTTCAGTTACTTGTCCAAGGTCACACATCAAAGATGTGGAGGTGCTAAGATTCAAACCCAGGCAGCCTGGTTCCAGAACCCGATTTCTTAGTTTGTTGTATTCCACTGAGTTGCAGTTTTAGACATGTGGTCTTTCTTTCAAATACCTGGTTAATCTCTGTTTGCAGCTGGTCAGAAAAATGAAGCCAAAGGAATGGCAAACATCAGGGTCATAGCTTAATTCCATAGCCTAATCCCTTCTGTGGCACAGCGCCAACCAGCCCTCCTGTGGCTCCTCTTTTCACTCAGAGTCAAGGCCAAACTCTTTAACAAACCTTTACACTCTGTCTTCTTCGACAGACAATGACTGGCATAGCACAGGTGACTTAACTGACATTTGGTGAATGAATGCACTAAAAGATACACGTGAATGAGGACACAGAATTTAGCAATTGCTACCTTTCTAAACCACATCCCAGCCAACCTGATCATGAACTAAAAATGGAACCCTGTCAATAGTCTCATAGATATGCTTCTTAAACATCAAAATTAAAAAATTCGAAACATTGGACTTTTTCTGGATCCTCATATACGCTAAATGATGACAAATTTTTATATTGAGTTGGGTGATTTTGTGTTTTCAGGTTAGAAACAAGACTTGTGAGGCCTGTGAAATAGCCTGTGAAGTCTCTTTGACCAGTCTACTCGATGCTGAACAACATTTTTAAGGTTTTTAGAGCCAGCCTTTGTGTAAAAGGTGAAGAAAGAAGAGTCAAAAACCCCTTCAGTGTTCAGGCTAGTAGGCATCAGAAAAGATCATCATTATCTTTTTGCATTTTTAAGATAATGATGAATTCTGGAATTGCCTCTAAACACTGTTTTATGAAACGTTTTGAGCCTAGTTTGGATCATGTAATTGAGTGTCTTAGGCTGGGTTCTCTAGAGAAGCAAAACCAGCGAAACGTGTATATAGAGAAATAGAGAGAGATTTTTTTTTTTTTTATTTTTTTTTCATTTTTTTTTTTTTATTGTACTTCAGGTGAAGGCTTACAGAACAAATAGTTTCTCATGAAACAGTAGTACACATATTGTTTTATAACATTGGTTAACAACCCCACAACATGTCAACCCTCTCCCTTCTCGACCTTTTGAGAGATTTAATTCAAGGAAATGCATCAAGCAATTGTGGAGGTTGGCAAGTCCCCAGATCCATGAGTCAGGTTTCAGGATGGAGGATTCTCCTGACTCATGTGGTTTGAGAGGCTGATGAACCCAAAAACGGCAGGTCAGATGGCAGCTGCTGGCTCCGGTGCCAAGAACTAGAGGTCAGATGATGATCCTCCAGTGCGGGATCTAAAGCAAGAGTGAATCTTGCTGGAACATCCATTTATATACTGGAGACAGGCCACACCCTCAAGGAAACTCCCTTTCCAACTAATTGGCTGCTCATAGCAAATTTCATCATGGAAGTGATTACATTATATCAGATCTTATCATGGAGGTGATTGCATTATATTACATTATGGAAGAGCAATGTCTGGCAAACCACTGAGAAATCATAGCTTCGCCAGGTTGACACATAACATTAACCATCATACTGAGTTTATGTTGAAATCATTTAGTGAGCAACTCCCATGGGACAGGTACTGCATTAAGCTCTGGGTAGGGGCGGGAGCTTAAGGGCTGGCAATGCAGGAAGCTTCAAAGGTGAGTACTAGGATAGGGCCCCACTTTCAGGAAGTATCTCATTCACCGGGGGAAAGAGATTCAGAAGAGGGCACTAGTATAGTAAGTTATTGTTGGCTGCCTTTGAGTCAGCCCCAACTCATGATAACCCTATGCACAATGGAATTGGTCTGTTGTCATCTATAGGGTTTTCCTTGGCTAATTTTTGGAAGTATGTCACCAGTCTTCACTGAAACCTGTTCAGCATCTCAGAAGCACACAAGCCTCCACTGACAGATGGGTGGTGGCTGTGCTTGAGTTGCATTGGTGGGGAATCAAACTTGGGTCTCCTGCATGGAAGGCAAGAATTCTACCACTGAACCACCACTGCCCCCAGTAGAATCAGAGGGGCCTGCAAAGTATTTCAGAGCATCAGGAAGGAAGTGATTGATTTGAGCTATGGATCAAGCCTCTTAGAGAGAGGGTGGTCTTTGAGGTGGGTTTGTGGGAGAGGAGGAGAGGTTTCTGCAAATGAAGGTGTAAGGTGGGAAAGAAAGGGGCATCCCCTTATCTTCTATGAATTTCAGTCTATGTGGGAAACAGACACAAATCAACAGATGACAGGCAGAGAAAGGCTTTTCCCTGGTTGAGATCCTCCCAATATCCTGGATCACCCTCCACATTGGAGTGTGGGATGGATAAATCAATGTGTAAGCATGAGTATTCTGATTCACACTTTCTCTTCAGTCCTCAAACCTCCTCCAGTCTCTACTCCTCTAGCTGATGACCCCGCCTCATACTTCACTGTGAAAACTGAAGCCATCTGCCCATCGCTTTAATGAAATGAGTGTCCCTGCTCATCTCGTGGCCAGGTCTTCCCCTGAGTCTGCAACGATATCTTCCTCTTCATCCCCTGCTCTACTGGGTCCTTCCCATCAACATACAAGCAGGCTCAACTACCTGATATTAAAAAAAAAAAAAAAATCCCTCCCTTTTCTTCACATACCTTCAGCCACATCCAAACCACTCTACCACCCTTCCCAGCAAGACATCTCTCACCTCTCTGTTCCCCAGTTTCCTTATCTGTAAGAGAGTTAATGTTAATAATCATCTCATATGGTTGTTGAAAAATTAAATCAGCCTATCCATGTAGAGAACTTAGAAAGGGCCTGGTTTGTGATAAGGTCTCACTACATGTTAGTGATTATTAATCTTCAACAAGTTGCCTGCACTCATGGTCCCCACTTCCTCACTGTATCATCCTTCACTCCCCTCCGGTCTGTCCTCCCTTCCTAACATGTCGCCGAAATTGCTTTTGTCAAGGTCATCAGTGAATTACATGAAGCTAAATCAGATTAATGCTTGCCTGTCCACTCCCTGCTGGACCTTTCACATCATTCAGCAATGGAAACTGCCCCTCCTTTCTGAAACGCTTTCCTCTCTTGGAGTCTGTGATTCCATTTTCTCATCTCACTAGAAGTTTTTTCTCAGTTGCCTTTGCGGCCTTCTCTTCTTCCACCAGATAGCCAAATACTGAAGACTACCGGTACTCACTGTTTGATGTTATTGTGGTAAAATAAATATATCATAAAATATGCCATTTCAACCATTTGTAAGTGTACATTTCAGTGGCATTAATTACATTCACAGTGTTGTACAACCAACACCACTATTTCCAAAACGTTTTCATCATCTCAAACAGAAAGTCGGCACCTATTAGGCAACAAAGTCCCCATCCCCCTGCTTACAGCCCTTGGTAACCACTGATCGGCTTTCTGTTTCTATGAATTTGCCTTCTTGATATTTCATAGATGTGGGAGCATACAATATTTGTCTTTTTATGTTAAGCTTATTTTACTTAGTATATTATTTTCAAGGTCCATCTATGTTGTAACATGTATCAAAACTTCATTCATTTTTATGGCTGAATAATATCCCATTGTATGTACATACAACATCCACCTATTGTTTATCCATTCATCTGTTGGTAGACATTTGGGTTATTTCTACCTTTGGCTGTACGAATAATGCTGCTATGAACATTGATGTCCAAGTATCTGTTAGTGGCTCTGTTTTTAGTTCTTTTGAGTATATACCTAGGAGTAGAATTGCTACGTCATATGGTAATTCTATGTGTTTAACTCTTTGAGGAACAGCTAAACCGTTATCCAAGTGGCTGTACCATTTTACGTTCCCACCAGGAACTGATGAAGGTTCCATTTCTTCACATCTTCACCAACATTTGTTATTTTCCTTTCTTTAAATAATAGCCACCCAAGCAAGTCTAAAGTGGTTTCTCACTGTGGTTTTCATTTGCATTTCCCTAATGGTTTCGTGCTCACCCACTAACTGAAAGTTTGGTAGTTCGAACCCACCTAGCGGCTCTTCAGGAGAGCAGACCTGTAGATCTACTCCCATAAAGATTATAGCCTATAAAACCCAATGGGGGCAACTCTACTCTGTCACATGGTGTCATTATGAGTCAAAATTGATTCGATGGCACCCAACAATAATAACAACAATAGCTAATGACTTTGTGCATCTTTTCATGTGCTTATTGGTCATTTGTATATCTTCTTTGGAAAAATGTCCATTCAAGTCCTTTGCCCAGTTTATAAATTGAATTGTCTTTTTGTTGTTGAGTTGTGGGGATTCTTTATATTTTCTGGATATTAAACCCTTATCAGATACATTATTTGCAAGCATTTTCTCTCATTCTGTAGTTTGTCTTTTTAGTTTATTGATAATGTTATTTGATGCACAGAAGTTTTTAATTTTGATGAAATCCAGGTTCTCTTTTTTTCTTTTTTTGCTCATGCTTTTTGTGTCATATCTAAGAGTCCGTTGCCCAATCCAAAGTCATGGAAATTTATGCCTGTGTCCTCTTCTAACTCCTCTAAGAGTGTTATGGTTTTAGCTCTTATATTTAGGATATTGATCTATTTTGAGTTAATTTTTGTATATGGTGTGAGGTGTATGTTATATAGGGGTCCAACTTCATTCTTCGGCATGTAGAAATCCAGTTGTTACAGCACCATTTGTTGAAGAGACTATTTTGTCCTCTTGGATGAACTTGCCACCCTTGTCAAAAATCAGTTGGCCATAGATGTATGAATTTATTTCTAGACTCTCAATTCTATTCTTTTTGTATATATATCTGTCCTTTTGCCAGTATCACACTGTTTTGATTACTACAGCTTTGTAGTAAGTTTTGAAATCAAGAAGCGTGAGTCCTCTTACTTTTGTCTTTTTCAAGATTATTTTCATTATCTGGGGCCCCTTGCAATGCCATAGGAATTTAAGATCAGCTTTTATATTTCTGGGGAAAAAAAAGGGCTGTTGCAATTTTGATGGCATCTTAGGCTGGATACTCTAGAGAAGCAAAACCAGTAAAGCATATAAATATATATATATAGAGAGAGAGATTTATACCAAGGAAGTGGCTTATGAGATTGTAGGGGCTGAAATGTCCCAAATTCGTGTATCAGCATAAAGGCTTCACCTGCTTCACATACCTGCAGGGGCTGGAAAACCCAAGATCAGCAGGTCTGAGAGCAGGGCTCTTGTTCACAGGCTGTGAAGATCGAAGAATTACAAGATTGGCAGATACACTGCTAGCTCACGTCCCAAAAAAGAAGTCAGACAAACAGGAGACAACTGCAGGATCCAGAACAGACAGAAGCTAGAACATCCACTTATATTTGGATGCAGGCCACATGCACAAGGAAACACCCTTTCAACTGATTGGCTACTCACAGCAGATATCATCATGGGAGTGATCACCTTTGAGCACTGAGAATCATGGCCCAGCCAAGCTGACACACAACCATCACAGATGGGATTGCACTGAATCCATAGATCATTTCGGATAGTATAAACCTCTTAATATAAAGTCTTCCAGTCCATGAACTGTAGATGCCTTTCCATTTACTGAGGTCTTTAATTTCTTTCATCAGTGTTTTGTAGCTTTCAGTGTAAAAGTCTTCACCTCCTTGGCTAAATCCATTCCCAGGTATTTTATTCTTTTAGATGATATTTCAAATGGAATTGTTTTTGTACATTTTTTTTCACGTTGTTCGTTGTTGGTGTATACAAACACAGCAGGTTTTGTGTGTTGATCTTTTACCCTGCAGCTTTGCTGAACTTGTTTATTAACTCTAGTAGCTTTCTTATGAATTCTGTTTATAATATCATGCTATCTGTGAAAAGAGATAGTTTTGCTTCTTTCCTTCCAATTTGGATGCCTTTTATTTCTTTTTCTTGTCTAATTGCCCTGGCTAGAACTTTCAGTACAGTGTTGAATAGCAGTGATGGAAGTGGGTGTCCTTTACTTGTTTCTGATTTTAGGGGGAAGGCTTTCAGTCTTTCGCCATTGAGAAAGATGTTACCTGTGAGTTTTTCATAAATGCCTTTGTCATGTTGAGGAAATTCTCTTTTATTTCTGGTTTTATGAGTGTTTTTTATTATGGGAGGATGTTGGATTTTGTCAAATGCATTTTCTACATGAATTAAGATGACCATTTTTTTTCCTTTTTTCTACTAATATGATGTATTGCATTGATAATCTTTATGTTGAATCACCCTTTCATTCCTGAGATAAATCCCAGTTGGTCAGGTATACGTTATCTTTAACATGCTATTGGATCCAGTTTCCTAGTATTTTGTTAAGAATTTTTGCATATACACATAGAAGAGTTATTGGTCTGTAATTTTCTTTCTTGTGATATCTTTATCTGGATTTGGTATCAGGGTAATACTGGCCTCATAGAATGTTAGTAAGTGTTTCTTCCTCTTCCATTTATTGGAAGAGTTTGAAAAGGATTGGTATTGTTAAAATAAGTGGTAGAATTCTGCAGTGAAGCCATCCAGTCTTGGTCTTTCCTTCCCTGGGAGGTTTTTGTTAACGAATTCAGTCTCTTTACTTGTCATAAATGTGTTGAGATTTTCTATTCCTTCTTGATTCAGTGTGTGTAATTTTTGTGTTTCTAATAATTTGTCCATTTCTTCTAGATTATTTTATCTTTTTTATTTCTGTAAGGTTGGTAGTAATCTCCCCACTTTTATTTCCAATTTTAGTTGTTTGAGTTGTCTCTCTTCTTCTCTCTTGTCTCTTTCTCTCTTTTCCAGTCTAGTTTATGATTTGTGTTCACTAGTGTTTTGACAGAGATTTCCTTCAACTCCAGGAGTAAAACAAAAACAATTAAACAAAAAATCTCCCAGTCTTTGCAGACCGTCTCTGTGCTGAGGCACTCCTTTACTACTTACCCAGGCTTATACTGATCCCAGAGATTGACCTGATGTGAAAGTTTAGGGATTTCTTGGTTTTTTTCTGAGCATGCATCTTGCCCTGGATATGGTGTGACTTTCCAAATTCCCTGATATACACTAGTGCTTTTGAATGTCCTAATTTCCCAAAGAAGCTTTCTCCCCCGGGCTTTTCCTCCTAGGCCTTTGGGGACCTATTTTATGTCTCAAACATACTCTTTTATAATGTTTTCAGGCACTTCCCACTTTCTACCCTGAGTGAATTTCAAGATAGACAAAACAGATACAAGGGCCTTGCATCAGTCCTTCAAGTAGCCCCCAAACAGGTTAGAACAGATAAACACAATAATTTCCAAACAATACCTGCTCTGCTCCCTCCAGAACCAGGAACCAGGACCCCGCAGTGGTTTTGTGGGCTGCTATTTCCAACACTGCTACTGAGCCAGGGAAGGGATGGGGCAAGAGCAAGTAAAAGAAACACACACACACACACACACACACACACACACACAAAGCTTTATTATCAATTTTAAGTTGTCCTTTTCTTGATTCAGCATTCACTTGGTTGCTGTAAACCTTTGACTGTTTTCCAGAGTAATGTCAAAATTGGCTCCCATAGTTTCTGCTTATTTTTCAGTGTTTCTGTTGGGTAATAAAAGCTTGGAGCTGCGTATTCTACCACCTTGTTGATGTCACTTCATGGTACTTATTTTTATTTACTGTTTTTACCCTGACCCTCAAAATTATCATTTGGTCCTAGCTCTATGCTGACACCTCCACCCTTGCCAGGCCAGACCTCTCTCATGAACTGCAGACGAGCATATCTCCCTGCCTCTTGACATCGCCATCTGGCTGACTCACAATCACCTTGAATCCAGCATATCAAAAGCAGGGCTTTGTGTCACTAATTGTACGCGCAGAAATTGTTGAATTGGTTTATGTTCTGCTGTGTATATTTTCAACAACAACAACAAAATAAAATCAATTATTTTTTTTTAAAACAAGCGGAGCTTTGTCTCCTCCACCCACCTCAAATGGTTGTTCCCCAGTCCTCCCCATCTTCCAACCACTGAAACTCAGAATCACCCTTGAGTCCTCCCTGCCCATCCACACCATCATGCAAGTCTTACCAGTTCCAACTACAAAACATCTCAGATCAGTGCACCCCTCTCCACTTCCATAGCCACGTTATCTCCCACCTGGACAACCTCAAGAACTTCCTAACTGGTCTCCTTGCTTCCACTCTTGCTCCTCCTCAGTGCACTATCCATTCAAATATGGAGTGATCTTTTTAAAACAAAAAGCATATCATGTCTTTCCCCTGCTTCAGTCCTTCAAAACCTCCCAATGTTCTTAAGATACAAAACAATCCCTGCCTCGTAGCCTTAAAGCCAACCATGGCCTGCAGGCCTCCTTGCCAATCTCTTCTCTCACCACTCTTCCCCTACACTCCAGACCGGGGATTCAAACTGGTTCAAACCAGTTCAGTCATGGACGACAAAGTGAAATCAGAACAGACCTGAATTTTTAAAATTTGGGTGAAGTGGAATGATAAGCGGAAAGGGAAAAATTATGAGTCGAATCCCTGGAATGGGAGACTCGAAAGAGACGCAGTGAGCCCTTTCAGGAGCCTGATGCGGGAGATTAGATTATTGCCAGGACTGAGAATGACACACGAAGAGGCACAGATCAGCTGCCATCTTTGAGTGGGGCACCACTGTTTCCAGCTCTTCCAGTCAAGGGATTTGGGTTGCTATGCAACACGTACACTGCCCTTGTTTTCTAAGAGGGAGATTAAGTTTCTAACAGGGCTTCAGCCTGAAATTTTTCCTGTTCCATTTATCATTCCACTTTACCCACATTTTAAAAATTTGGTTCCATTTGGTTTTAGCTTCATCAGCCATAAATGAACCAGGCAGAACCAGTTCGAAGTCCTGTTTTAGACCCTTTGCCCTTCTCTGCATTCCTCTAACAGGCTAGGTATTTGTACTTGCTGCTACCTCTGTGTGGATGCGGTTGCTTGTTTTCCCCATGGATATAGATAGTTTTCTTCTTATTATTAATATCTTGGCTCAGATATCTCCTCCTCAATTAGACCTCCTCTGACCACTCTGTATAAGTGGCTTCACCCAGTTGACTTGTCATTGACATTTGTTTCATTTCTGTCTGTCTCACTAATTTACAGGAACATTATCTTCCCTGAATACTGCTGTGTCCTGAGCAGTCAACTAACATAGTGCTGGACACGGACTAACTCCTCTGTGCATTTTTGTTGAAGAATGAACAAATTGATACCTTGACCTACAAGCTGCAGCATTCATCTCTGTTGACCTCAGCTTTTTTTTTTTTTTTTTTTTTAACCTCAGCTTTTCTGAGTGCCTATTGTAACAACTACTATGTAGAGAATAGAATCATGCAGAATTCAGGGTCAAAAGACTTAGATTTAAATCTGCATTCCAACTTTTATTAGCAAAGTGATATTAAGCAACTTACTTAACCTCTCTCAGGCTCATTTTTATCATTTGTCAAATGAGGGTGAGAATAACAATATATCCCTCATGGAGTTGTTCGGAGAACCGCACAGATAATGTGTGCGACTGTGCTTTATAAATTATAGTATCTGTCTCAGATAGTAGTTATGATTGAAGAAGCCACAGCTTTCAACTTTTGATGATGACAAGATTGTTTAGTCATTTATGAAAACAAGTGAGACTGACCCTCTGATTGGTGTTTGGCCTAAGTCACCTGTATTCTCAATGCCCAGGCAGATAGAAAACTGTCCCCGGGTTTAGAGGAGACGTGAGGTAAAAGCTGTTAGGACTCAGAACAAAATCAGCACATTTATAGAGCCTAGCAAACAGAATTGGAATGAAGCTTGATTTCCTTCTTTCTCCTTAACAGCACATCACCAGTCAGTTTGCCCAAGCTGAATCTGCAGGGAGAGAAAATAATTAGGGTTTCCTGGAAGAAGTGGGTTTTGAAGAGGTACTTCAAGGTGGTTCACTGAGTTGATGCGAAGGTGAGATCTCTAGTCTAGACTGAAGGCACAGATAGTGAGATAGTGACTTAAAAGGGAGGGGGACAGCACTCACTCAGTAGACAGAGCTAAGGGGGTGGGGTGGGGTCACTTCTTAGTCTGCTCAACTTGACCACTCCCTGCTCAATCCCACTTTTACCTTCAGGCACAAGTTTTGCCTCCAAAGCTACAAAGCCCTTTCCCTTCCTCATGGATAGTCTGTAGAGGAGGCCAGTTCAGTGGCAGGGAACCTGTCTTTACATACATCACAAATTCTTAACACTAGATAAGTCAGAGAGAAGGCAGTTAAAAGGCAGTTAACTGAGCTGAGCTGAGGTGCCATGTGATGATGATGGCCAGAATGAGGAGTGGAAGGGGTGGAATTACGAGTGTCTTTAGGACTTTGATGATGAAGTAGATGAGGGAGAGGAAGAGTTAAGAAGGTCCCACAGCTTTCATCCTAAGAGATGTAGACAACATTGATGACATTTACTAAAGGATGGTAATTCCAGGAAGAATTATGTGGAAACATCCTGACAATTTGATTCTAGGTTTGTTGTGTCTGAGAACCCTGCGGAGGGTCCAAGCATTGATGTTCACATCTCACGTGCCTTCGGCCAGTCTCTACCTATCTCCTTTCTGGCCAGGGGTCAAAGTTTCTTTCATTTCTCTTTATTGTCTTTCCCTTCTCCCTTCTATATATGTCCTTCCTCAGTTTTTTGAAAGCTTAGGAATTTTCAGAACCAGAATGGTGGGAATAATATAAAACTAAAAGTCAGGAGACCTTCGTTCACTCTGCACCCCATTGAAAGTACTGACTCCGAATGGGAGCCAAGATGGCAGCTTAGCCAGACACACCTTGCCATACCTCTACAGCGAAGACCCAAGAAACCAAGTGAAACAGATACAGATAGCAATCCTGGAACCCTGAGCATCAAACGAAAGGATAAAGAATTAGATTGAACACTGATTGGAAGAAGAAACTTACCGAAAATAGCGAACAAGGAGAGATAGGGAGCAGAGGTGCCCTGCCAGCTGA